TGAGGTAATTTTTTTTTTATTGGAGTTAAAATTAAGGTAGATATATGACCGAACCCAACCAACCCTACCTAACCTAACCTAACCTATCTTTATAGGTTAGGTTAGGTTAGGTGGCCGAAAAAGTTAGGTTAGGTTAGGTTAGGTAGGTTAGGTAGTCGAAAAACAATTAATTCATGAAAACTAGGCTTATTAGGCAAATCGGGCCGTGCATATTAGGCTGAGAAGTGCGTTCTGGCTACTAGGTACGACATATATATATATATATATATATATATATATATATATATATATATATATATATATATATATATATATATATATATATATATATATATATATATATATATATATATATATATATATATATATATCTTTGGACAACACCCACCAGTGGGACTCGAACCCAGAAAGCACAACTACCTTCCAGTAGCTGGCATAACTAGTATGCTTTAACCCACTACGCCATCAGACCTTACAAAAAGAAGTAGATAGTTCGAGATATATATCTCAAACATCTCTACCTCCCGAAGGCACCAGATGAGTGAGGGGTCAGTCTGCATTTTTCGTCAAGCCACTGTCAATGTGAGAGAACTCGTGTCCAGCTTATAAGCCTATACTTGCATAAACCACAAGTGAAGATAAACAATCTTTGGACAACACCCACCAGTGGGACTCGAACCCAGAAAGCACAACTACCTTCCAGTAGCTGGCATAACTAGTATGCTTTAACCCACTACGCCATCAGACCTTACAAAAAGAAGTAGATAGTTCGAGATATATATCTCAAACATCTCTACCTCCCGAAGGCACCAGATGAGTGAGGGGTCAGTCTGCATTTTTCGTCAAGCCACTGTCAATGTGAGAGAACTCGTGTCCAGCTTATAAGCCTATACTTGCATAAACCACAAGTGAAGATAAACAATCTTTGGACAACACCCACCAGTGGGACTCGAACCCAGAAAGCACTGGAAGGTAGTTGTGCTTTCTGGGTTCGAGTCCCACTGGTGGGTGTTGTCCAAAGATTGTTTATCTTCACTTGTGGTTTATGCAAGTATAGGCTTATATATATATATATATATATATATATATATATATATATATATATATATATATATATATATATATATATATATATATATATATACATATTAAATATGACCGAAAAGTAAGATTAACAATTCTAATACGAATTTTCTCAATATTTCTTATATTTCTTTTCACTGTTGATGGTAACTGAAAAATCAATTCTCCATAATTCATTTTTATTTGTTGTCTGACGCGATACTTGAACGCGTTTCGTAAAACGTATTACATTTTCAAAGACTGTAGTTTACACACACACAACTATAACTGAACAGAGTTTAAACAGCTTCGATTTTATACCTGCATTTGGGTGAGGTGATATGTTACAACAGTTTTGGATGAGGTGAAAACAAACTTTCAACACAAGACAGAACACGAAACAATGGGTATAATATATTGTAAGTTAAAGGGAAGAATGGAAGTAACTGCAAAGGGCCTATTGGCCCATATTTCTTGATGCTTCTATATTGGTGCTGAGTCTTGAAGTGGGGTGAAGTGAATTTTGGAGAATTGATTTTTCAGTTACCATCAACAGTGAAAAGAAATATAAGAAACATTGAGAAAATTCGTGTTAGAATTATTAATCTTACTTTTTCGGTCATATTAATAATACATATGTATGTATATATGTCGTACCTAGTAGCCAGAACGCACTTCTCAGCCTACTATGCAAGGCCCGATTTGCCTAATAAGCCACGTTTTCCTGAATTAATATATTTTCTCTAATTTTTTTCTTATGAAATGATAAAGCTACCCATTTCATTATGTATGAGGTCAATTTTTTTTTATTGAAGTTAAAATTAACGTAGATATATGACCGAACCTAACCTACCCTACCTAACCTAACCTATCCTATCTTTATAGGTTAGGTTAAGTTAGGTAGCCGAAAAAGTTAGGTAAGGTTAGGTTAGGTAGGTTAGGTCGTCGAAAAACAATTTTTTCATGAAAACTTGGCTTATTAGGCAAATCGGGCCTTGCATAATAGGCTGAGAAGTGCGTTCTGGCTACTAGGTACGACATATATATATATATATAATATATATATATATATATATATATATATGCAACAATGATCACAAAAACACTGATCCAAGTATGCAGAATAACCACATATGAAAAATAGAAAATGTTAGGTTGATTCTACTTTGCTCTGATGAAGGCGAATTAGCCGAAAACGCGTTAAGCATTTTCTATTTTTCATATGTGGTTATTCTGCATATATATATATATATATATATATATATATATATATATATATATATATATATATATATATATATATATATATATATATATATATATATATATATAACTAGCAGTACCCGAGCAGGCGTTGCTGTGGCTCAGCCACAGCAACCTTCCCAGTCCTCCCTACAATTCCCCCCCCCCTCACCCGTCTCCTCGGCCTCCCCACCATTCCCCACTCCACTATCCCCTCTTCCCACCATGCCCCACTCCCCCTGTCCCTTCGTCCTCCCCACCATCTCTCACTTATGTCAGTACTGTGGAGAAATGCCCGACAGACCACTGGAACATTATCTAACACAGTGCACAGTTACAAACCCATTAAGATTTCAACTTAGATTCAACAGAGCAGAAGAAGTTGATAAACACATATGGCAAAATCTTTCTGAAGCGACCATACGAGTCATAAATACTCACACTCCGCCCAAGTAAAACAGAAACAAGCAACACTTAGTGGGCCAGCCAGAGGCTTAGGGCCCGCGCAGGAATATCCCTGCAAAAAAAAAAAAATAAATAAAAAATAAAAAAATCTCTCACTTCCATCCCCTCGTCCTCCCCACCATTCCCCACTCCCTCGTCCTCCCCACCATTCCCCACTCCCTCGTCCTCCCCACCATTCCCCACTCCCTCGTCCTCCCCACCATTCCCCACTCCCTCGTCCTCCCCACCATTCCCCACTCCCTCGTCCTCCCCACCATTCCCCACTCCCTCGTCCTCCCCACCATTCCCCACTCCCTCGTCCGATGCCTACCCAAATGGTCTGATGTTCCCATCAGAAAATTGGGAACATCAAGTGATCTGATGTTCCCATAACTGAAATATAAGAAAAACAGTTAAAAAATGAAATGAAAATATGAAAAAATAAAAAAATAAACTATACTCACGAAATAAACGGTATGGTAAACAACACAGCTCAATTCCAATGCTATTCACACAAAATAAATAAATCAAAATGAAAAAAATCCAAATCTATGAAAATTCAATTTATCAATGCAATCAGAAACATTGAAATGAAATTGTAACATATTTAGTACAGCGTTCATGTTGCTATTATGTGCAACAGATGGCGCTATTTTTCAAAAAGTATGTTTTTACCTGTCACAGGCGTGGTATCTATATAGTAAACGTTGCGTGAAATTTCAAAGCAATCGGTGAAGAACTTTCGGAGATTAGCGGTTACACAAACGAACATTTCCAGTTTTATTTATATAGATGTATGTGTGTGTATGAATAAGAATTTGCATACTTCATACTTAGAATGCATGGTTTTTAGTATGGATTGCACCAATCAATACTACTCAACCAGCGCTCAAATGAACAAAACAGTTGTGTATCTGTGTAATATGCTGAACACTGAATTACTCTGCTGTACAATCTAATATAATGTTCACTATTAGTAACCCAATATGAACAATGTTCACCATCGAGAACCCCAAATATGACAATAAGTTTGAGGCAACGAGGTGACTTGAACCCGCGTTCTGGTAAGCCCCAGACACCCTTACCGACTGTGCCACGATGGTACAAAAGCCAACCAACCCGCAACTCTACTGAAATCACTGGAAGGTTCTGGAGGCACCAAACCGGAGCCCAACCGGTTTGGGGCCTCCAGAATCTTGCTAGTGAATTCAGTAGAGTTTCAGTAACATCATTTAACTTTATTATACAATTGATGAGCCCTGGAGCGCTTCGTACGACCCTCGTAAACTGTTTTAGTGAATTCAAACTTAGTTACCTTCATCGAGGAAAGATGTACTGGTTTAGTAAGGGGGGATATTTTTGAAGAGTCCTGGCATAGGGTGAAGTAATTACATTCACCACCCACCAATAGTACAACAGGTCCTATCAAGATTGATCCATCAGATTGGGCCATGAGACAGATCCATCAGACCGGCCCATCAGACCAGCCCATCAGACCAGCCCATCAGACCAGCCCATCAGACCGGCCCATCAGACCGGCCCATCAGACCGGCCCATCAGACCAGCCCATCAGACCAGCCCATCAGACCGGCCCATCAGACCGGCCCATCAGACCAGCCCATCAGACCGGCCCATCAGACCAGCCCATCAGACCGGCCCATCAGACCAGCCCATCAGACCGGCCCATCAGACCGGCCCATCAGACCGGCCCATCAGACCGGCCCATCAGACCGGCCCATCAGACCAGCCCATCAGACCGGCCCATCAGACCGGCCCATCAGACCGGCCCATCAGACCGGCCCATCAGACCGGCCCATCAGACAAGAAGCTCGGAAATAACAGCGTAGAGAGCGAGAGAGAAAGTCAAATCAAGGAAGCATCAACAAACAATAATTTGAGTCGAACTTTGTCAAAAATTTTGTCAACAAATCTTCGAAAAATATCAAGAATTACGGGGCCAATATTGCCCATAATCTCATACCAAGATGCACGGCGTTAAGGGCGAGATACAGGAGAGTACATCCAGTACAATGACCCTTACGGAGATTACAATGATATATTCCAGTATTCTTCAAACTATATTTTTTCCGAACGACCCAGTTCAGTGTCACAAAATTCAAAAACAAATTAAAAAAAACTGAGATTGGAGCTGGAGAAAGACTTACAATTTGTTACGTGAAAGGTAAGCTAATTTATTATAGATTTTTATACATTAGTTAAGACGTTTTATATTAGTTGTTGGAGTTTGTTTATTAATCAGTTAAATATACAGTAGTGGTGTGTTTACCGTTACCAGTGTTGTGTTTACCGTTACCAGTGTTGTGTTTACCGTTACCAGTGGTGAGTTTACCGTTACCAGTGGTGAGTTTACCGTTACCAGTGGTGAGTTTACCGTTACCAGTGGTGAGTTTACCGTTACCAGTGTTGTGTTTACCGTTACCAGTGGTGAGTTTACCGTTACCAGTGGTGAGTTTACCGTTACCAGTGGTGCGTTTACCGTTACCAGTGGTGAGTTTACCGTTACCAGTGGTGAGTTTAGCGTTACCAGTGTTGTGTTTACCGTTACCAGTGGTGTGTTTACCGTTACCAGTGGTGAGTTTACCGTTACCAGTGGTGAGTTTACCGTTACCAGTGGTGAGTTTACCGTTACCAGTGTTGTGTTTACCGTTACCAGTGGTGAGTTTACCGTTACCAGTGGTGAGTTTACCGTTACCAGTGGTGAGTTTACCGTTACCAGTGGTGAGTTTACCGTTACCAGCGGTGAGTTTACCGTTAACAGTGGTGAGTTTACCGTTACCAGCGGTGAGTTTACCGTTACCAGTGGTGTGTTTACCGTTACCAGCGGTGAGTTTACCGTTACCAGTGTTGTGTTTACCATTACCAGTGTTGTGTTTACCATTACCAGTGGTGAGTTTACCGTTACCAGTGGTGAGTTTACCGTTACCAGTGGTGAGTTTACCGTTACCAGCGGTGAGTTTGCCGTTACCAGTGTTGTGTTTACCGTTACCAGTGGTGAGTTTACCGTTACCAGCGGTGAGTTTACCGTTACCAGTGTTGTGTTTACCGTTACCAGTGGTGAGTTTACCGTTACCAATGGTGAGTTTACCGTTACCAGTGTTGAGTTTACCGTTACCAGTCGTGTGTTTACCGTTACCAGTGTTGTGTGTACCGTTACCAGTGTTGTGTTTACCGTTACCAGTGGTGAGTTTACCGTTACCAATGGTGAGTTTACCGTTACCAGTGTTGAGTTTACCGTTACCAGTCGTGTGTTTACCGTTACCAGTGTTGTGTGTACCGTTACCAGTGTTGTGTTTACCGTTACCAGTGGTGAGTTTACCGTTACCAGTGGTGTGTTTACCGTTACTAGTGGTGTGTTTACCGTTACCAGTGTTGTGTTTACCGTTACCAGTGGTGAGTTTACCGTTACCAGTGGTGTGTTTACCGTTACCAGTGGTGTGTTTACCGTTACCAGTGGTGTGTTTACCGTTACCAGGGGTGAGTTTACCGTTACCAAAGTCATATTTATTTTTATTACATTCGAGTGCTGAAAAATATTTTAATAGCTGTCTTAAAGTTAATTAAACAATGATTAATATGCAAATATAGTTATATAAATATGCAAATTAGATAGTTTTAGCTGCCAGGGAAAAGTCAACAAATAAGTGATTGGAATCACCAGTTGACGGGTGGAAATTAATGTGAGTTTCAGTTTAACATTATTGGAGTTTTCTCTTTTGGAAATTTAATAAAGTTTTAAAAACAAACTGAGATTATTCTTTTTATAATTCTTATTACTATAACATTTGTTAAATAGTGAGATTCCAATATTAAAAGAAATTGATGTTTTTGATTTCGCTGAACTTATGTAATTTGTTGACTGTGGAGAGATGTATACACCGAAGGGTGTGTATATATATATATATATATATATATATATATATATATATATATATATATATATATATATATATATATATATATATATATATATATATATATATATATATATATATATATATATATATATATATATATATATATATATGACAATGTCAGACCACGGAGGAAAAATGAAACAGGAAATTTCCTTAAGTACTTTCGTATATTAAATACATCTTCAGAAGGTACCTTCTGAAGATGTATTTAATATACGAAAGTACTTAAGGAAATTTCCTGTTTCATTTTTCCTCCGTGGTCTGACATTGTCACATTCTTAATCACGTGTTTATTTTCGTGATATACACACACACACACATATATATATATATATATATATATATATATATATATATATATATATATATATATATATATATATATATATATATATATATATATATATATATATATATATATATATATATATATATATATATTAGTATATTTTGGTAGCAGTCTTTCCTGTAGACATATATTATTAAATATGACCGAAAAAGTAAGATTAATAATTCTAACACGAATTTTCTCTATCTTTCGTACATTTCTTTTCACTGTTGGTGGTAATTCAAAAATCAATTCTCCAAAATTCAAATGAATTTTGGAGAATTGATTTTTGAATTACCACCATATATATATATATATATATATATATATATATTATATATTATATATATATATATATATATATAACTGAAAACTCACACCCCAGAAGTGACTCGAACACATACTGCCAGGAGCACTCTGCTGGCGTACAGGATCTGATCCTGTCAGAGCCACAGAGATACTACAGGAAAGAGTTGACTGTCTATCTGGATCTAAAAAAAAGCCTTTGACAGAGTCCCACACAAGAGGCTGCTCTGGAAACTGGAACTTTACTGGAGGGGTGAAAGGGAGATTTTTGAAAAGGATGAAAAATGTTCAAACTGACAGACAGATGAGGACAGTAATCAGAGATAATGTATCCGACTGGATCAGTGTTACTAGAGGAGTACCACAGTAACCCTGTGGTACTAGAGGAGTACCACAGTAACCCTGTGGTACTAGAGGAGTACCACAGTAACCCTGTGGTACTAGAGGAGTACCACAGTAACCCTGTGGTACTAGAGGAGTACCACAGTAACCCTGTGGTACTAGAGGAGTACCACAGTAACCCTGTGGTACTAGAGGAGTACCACAGGGTACTCCTCTAGTACTCCAGCGAAATCAAGTTCTTGCACCAGTAATGTTGGTCCAGTATGCCTTCTGGTGCAAACTAGTTGGAATACAGAATTATATGTACATGTTTGCGGATGATGCTAAGATATTGAGGAAGACAGGAGACGCAGACGATTGTAATGCCCTTCAAATTGAACTAGATAAAAAAGGTGCTTGGAGCTACAAGTGGCAAATGGAATTCAGTCTGAATAAATGTCATGTTATGGAATGTGGAACAGGAGAAAATATACCACACAACTTACATATTATGTGGAATGGAATTACAGAACTCTAATAAAGAACGAGACGTCGGGGTGGTTTTGGACAGTAAGCTGTCGCCAGAGGAACACATAAAGAACATTGTGCGAGGAGCGTAAGTGTCGCTTTCTAACTTCAGACTTACTTGTAATTATATGAATGGTGAAATACTAAAGAAACTGTTCATGACTTGTCCTCAGTGGAGTGGAGCCTAGGGTAGGGGAGCCTCCTGGCCCCCCTACCCTAGGCTCCACTTCATTCTCCAACCTATGACCTCCCTCCCTCCTTCTACATGCCCCTCCTGCTCCCCCATCACAAGCCTTAATATACTCCCAACCCCAGACCTCTCAGTTATACCACCTCAGACCCTCCTAGCTTCCTCATACCGGATCCTTCCAGCCCCCTCTCTCACCCTAGATCTCCCAAGTCGGCCTTCCTAGGCCCTCCCACCCAGACATCCCTTGTTCCCCTCCTCCAGTGGAATGAACAGAAACTGAAGATGGAATGACAAGTCAGTTTCAAGGTAATATACTTGAACACAGATGGGATTACTAGCAAGACATGTGAACTTAGGGAAAGAGCACAAGAAGGGAACCAGAATGTAATCGGACTCACAGAAACAAAACTTTCAGGAATAATAACGAATGCAGTGTTTCCCCAAGACTACACTGTAATAAGAAGAGGGAGGAAATGAAAGGGAGGAGGCTGAGTGGCCCTACTGATAAGAAAGGAATGGAGTTTCGAGACAGTTATCCCAGGCTGCGAGGGGGGTTCAGAGACTCAATTACAGGCATCATGACGCTGGGAAGACCAAGAGTAGTAGTAGCAGTAATATATAACCCTCCACCAAAAGGCATAAGACCCAGGCAAGAGTATGACAGAAACAACATGGCAGTTAACACTATATTTGCGAGAGTAGCCACTGCTGCCTGTAGAAATAGATCCCATCTGCTCTTCATGGGGGACTTCAATCATGGAAGGATAGACTGGGAAAACAAGGAACCGCATGGAGGTGAGTAAACATGGAGAGCTAAACTGTTGGAACTGGCGACAAGAAACGTTGTAAGTCAGCATGTCAGGGAGCCCACAAGAATGAGAGGCAACGATGAACCAGCGAGACTCGACCTAGTCTTCACTCTGAATGACTCCGACATAAGGGGCCGTTACTGTGGAAAACTAACGTTGTTGTTCAATGTCAACCATTATTTTTTGACTAGTTGTATATGAAAAGGGCTGCAATTGTTCTAAGTTTCAGTACTGTAGCCTAAATAGTAAGGGAGATTTTTATTTTTATTCAACGAATTTTACACATTTTCAAGTGTATATTTACGGCTACACCTTTCAGATATAATCATTCTATGAAACTTTTCTGACACATTAGCATATAATAAAGGATCAATAGGAGGGGATTTTCCAAAAGGTCTTTAGTTTTCCTAATACAAATAGTCTAAGTTCCCCCCCAAAATTATACAAATATATCATGTTGATTGCTATTATAAAATCAATAAATGAACTCAGGAAAAAACGCTTCCTTACGATTTAGAGACATAAACTTTACATATAAGCTGTAAGTTTCATGTAAATTTAATAAAAAAATGAAAGAGATATATATGTTCAAGAAACATAAATGTTCAAGTGAGTAAAAAATAAAATCTAAGGTTCTGCCATCTGTGGCTGAGGTTGACATCAACCAATTTCCTCCAAAACTGGCACCCTTACAGATAGGCATACATGCGGTCAGGTGTATAAGTTTCAAGCAAATAGCCCAATAAACAAAAGAGAGAGATAAAATTAAAAAAAAAAAATTGTTTTTTTAACTAAATTTTTGTTTAATAAAACTAATTATAATTTGCTTTTAATATATGCTATTGTGATAGCTGAGATTCATAGACATGATTTCAGTTGGCATTTTTGTTTGATAATCGACCATTTTGGAAATTTTTTGACATATAATTCAATATTTTTTTTCTCCCTTCCTATTTATGCTACGATGCTGAGACTTAAACCAGATGAAACCCTTTTCATATAACACTTGTCAAAAAACTTTGTTTGAAATCGAACGAGTTTTGATTTATTGCATATTTTTGGAATAACGCCCCCAAGCAAGGAAGGGCAAGCAGGGCAAAAACTCAACCTAAATTGCTGCACAGCCACATCAGGAGAAAAACAACAGTAAAGGAACAGGTAATGACACTGAGGATAGGGGGCAGACAAATTCACTACAAAAGACAAGGAAGTGTGCGAGGAACTCAATAGGATATCCCAGGAGGTCTTCACAGCAGAGCAAGGGGAATGTCCCAGAGATTGGAGGGGGGAATATTTAACCAAACACCACTAGAGGAGTTTGTGATTACCAGTAGGGAAGTAAGGAAGCATCTGCTAGAGTTGGAAAAGACAGAGGCTATAGGCCCGAATGGAATCTCACCATGGATACTGAAGGAAGGAGCAGAGCTCTGTGCCAGCCACTCGCCATGGTGTACAACAAATCACTGGTAACAGGTGAACTGCCAAAATTTAGGAAGACAGCTAATGAAGTCGACAGCTATGTCGACCCGATATTCAAGAAGGGTGATAGACAGGAGGCACTGAACTACAGGCCAGTGTCATTAACTTGCATACCATGCAAGGTGACGGAGAAGATTGTGCGAAAAAAATCTAGTGGAACATCTTGAGTGGAAGAACTTTGTATCATAACATAAATTTGGGTTCAGGAATGGCAGATCATGCCTCACAGGATTGGCTGAATTCTACGACCAGGCAACAAAAATCAGGCAAGAAAGAGAAGGCTGGGCAGACTGCATATTTTGGACTGCCCGATCCTTTGAAACAGTTCCATACAAGAGACTAGTGCACAAATTGGAGATGCACGCAGGAGAGAAAGGGAAGGTACTCCACTGGATAAAGGAGTACCTAAGCAACAGAGGACAGTGAGTAACTGTGAGGGTTGAGGTCTCGGAGTGGCGAGGAGTCACTAGTGGAGTCCGACAGGGATCAGTCCTTGGACCTATACTGTTTCTGGTATACGTAAATGATCTCCCAGAAGGAACAGACTCGTTCCTCTCATTGTTTGCTGATGATGGACAAATTATGAGGAGAATTAAGACAGAGGAAGATAGTACGAGGCTACAAGATGTCGTAAACAAATTGAAGGAATTGTCCGACAAATGGCTACTAAAGTTCAACCCAATTAAATGTAAGGTAATGAAACTAGGTAGTGGAAACAGGAGGCCAGACACAGGATACCGAATAGGAGATGAAGTCATTCACGAAACGGACAGAGAGAAAGAGCTATCACGCCAAACCTGTCTCCTGAAGCCCACATCAAAAGAATAACATCGGCGGCGTATGCAGGCTGGCTAACATCATAACTGCCTTCAGGAACCTGTATAAGAATCTTTCAGAACCTTGTATACCACATATGTAAGACCAATCCTAGAGTATGCAGCCCCAGCATGGAGCCCGTACCTAGTCAAGCACAAGACGAAGCTGGAAAGAGTTCAGTGGTATGCCATTAGGATAAACCCAGAACTAAGAGGCATGAGTTACGAGGAAAGGCTGAGGGAACTGCGCCTCACGTCGCTGGGAGACAGAACAGCTCGGGGAGACATGATCACCACATACAAAATTCTCAGGGGAATTCGCAGGGGTAAACACGGATGAATTATTTAACACGGGTGGTACACGCACAAGGGGACACAGGTGGAAGCTGAGTACCCAAAGAGCCACAGAGACATTAGAAAGAACTTTTTCAGTGTCAGAGTAATTAGTAAATGGAATGCACTAGAAAGTGATGTGGTGGAGTCTGACTCCATACACAGTTTCAAATGTAGTTATGATAGAGCCCAGTAGGCTCAGGAATCTGTACGCCAGTTGATTGACGGTTGAGAGGCGGGACCAAAGAGCCAGAGCTCAACCCCCGCAAGCACTACTAGGTGAGTACAACTAGGTGAGTACACATACACACACACACACACACACACACACACACACACACACACACACACACACACACACACACACACACACACACACACACACACACACACACACACACACACACACACACACACATGGAAGACGGCTAATGTGGTCCAAGAGGCACTGAACTACAGGCCAGTGTCCTTGACTTGTATACCATGCAAGGTGATAGAGAAGATCGTGAGAACAAATCTAGTAACACATCTGGAGAGAAGGGACTTCGTGACAAATCGCCAACATGGGTTCAGGGAGGGTAACTCTTGCCTTACAGGCTTAATAGAATTCTACGATCAGGTGACAAAGATTAAGCAAGAAAGAGAAGGCTGGGCGGACTGCAGTTTCTTTGACTGTCGGAAAGCCTTTGACACAGTACCCCATAAGAGGCTGGAAGCAAATGTTATGTAATGAAGATAGGTGTAAGGAGCAGGAGGCCTCAAGAGGCAGAGAAAGAGAAAGAAAGACTTGGGGGTTGATATCACGCCAGACCTGTCCCCTGTAGCCTATATCAAGAGGATAACATCAACGGCATATGCCAGGTCGGCCAACATAAGAACGGCATTTAGAAACTTGTGTAAGGAATCATTCAGAACTTTATATACCACATATGTCAGACCAATCCTGGAGTATGCAGCCGCAGCATGGAGTCCATATCTAGTCAAGCATAAGACTAAACTGGAGAAGGTTCAAAGGTTTGCCACCAGACTAGTACCCGAGCTGAGAGGTATGAGCTACGAGGAGAGACTACGGGAGTTAAACCTCACTTCGCTTGAAGACAGAAGAGTTATAGGTGACATGATCACCACATACAAGATTCTCCAAGGAATTGACCGGGTAGATAAGTACGTGCTATTTAAGACGAGGGGTACGTGAACAAGGGAACACAGGTGGAAACTGAGTACCCACATGAGCCACAGGGACGTTAGAGAGAACTTTTTTAGTGTCAGAGTGGTTGACAAATGGAATGCATTAGGAAGTGATGTGGTGGAGGCTGACTCCATACACAGTTTCAAGTGTAGATATGATAGAGCCTAATAGGCTCAGGAACCTGTACACCAGTTGATTGACAGTTGAGAGGCGGGACCAAAGAGCCAGAGCTCAACCCCCTGAAGCACAATTAGGTGAGTACAACTAGGTGAATACACGCGCGCACGCACACACGCACGTTCTATTTAACAAGGAAAAATACGAGCTATTATAGAGGCAAACTGCAGGCAAAACCTGAGTGCATAGTGATTAATACCCCCCTCCCTCCCCCCCCCAAAAAAAAAACTCGCAAAAAGAACCAAATAAACGACTAAACAAAGAAAGAGTTGTGTGAAACGACGTATTACTGCTGCCAGACGCACGATCCACCGGCAGCCACACGGAGAGAAAATATCGTACAGCCCCACCTACTGTACCAGCCTTCTCCAACAGTACTAATACTGTACTTACTGTCTGGTCGCAAGTACCAATATGGTAGCGACGAACCACCAAAACTTACCTTTTGTTTACTACCAACACTGTGGCTTTGGTCAAAATTACAGATATAACCATACCTAAGCACTCCTAGACTTAGTATAGCACATATATGGACTATATTAGACCTACGATGGCGCGTTTAGGCCTATGCTTCCCACACAGAAGTTCAGTATTTATGTTGCGGTTAAAAAGTCAATAATACGAACTGTCTGGGGCCCATGACCACGTGTTGGCCACCACTGTCTCTCTCCTGTAGGACCACGGATCCCAGCTGGGAGGACGACATTGTAGCTAGGAGGACGACATTGTAGCTAGGAGGACGTCATTGTAGTTAGGAGGACGTCATTGTAGCTAGGAAGACGACATTGTAGCTGGGAGGACGACATTGAAGCTAGGAGGACGTCATTGTAGTAAGGAGGACGTCATTGTAGCTAGGAAGACGACATTGTAGCTGGGAGGACGTCATTGTAGCTGGGAGGACGTCATTGTAGCTAGGAAGACGATATTGTAGCTGGGAGGACGTCATTGTAGCTAGGAGGACGTCATTGTAGCTAGGAAGACGACATTGTAGCTGGGAGGACGTCATTGTAGCTGGGAGGACGTCATTGTAGCTAGGAGGACGTCATTGTAGCTAGGAAGACGACATTGTAGCTGGGAGGACGTCATTGTAGCTGGGAGGACGTCATTGTAGCTGGGAGGACGTCATTGTAGCTAGGAGGACGTCATTGTAGCTAGGAAGACGACATTGTAGCTGGGAGGACGTCATTGTAGCTAGGAGGACGTCATTGTAGCTGGGAAGACGACATTGTAGCTGGGAGGACGGTCATTGTAGCTGGGAGGACGTCATTGTAGCTAGGAGGACGTCATTGTAGCTAGGAGGACGTCATTGTAGCTAGGAAGACGACAGTGTAGCTAGGAGGACGTCATTGTAGCTAGGAGGACGTCATTGTAGCTAGGAGGACGTCATTGTAGCTAGGAGGACGTCATTGTAGTTAGGAAGACGACATTGTAGCTGGGAGGACGTCATTGTAGCTGGGAGGACGTCATTGTAGCTAGGAGGACGTCATTGTAGCTAGGAGGACGTCATTGTAGCTAGGAGGACGTCATTGTAACTAGGAAGACGTCATTGTAGCTAGGAGGACGACATTGTAGCTAGGAGGACGTCATTGTAACTAGGAGGACGTCATTGTAGCTAGGAGGACGTCATTGTAGCTAGGAGGACGTCATTGTAACTAGGAGGACGACATTGTAGCTAGGAGGACGACATTGTAGCTAGGAAGACGTCATTGTAACTAGGAGAACGTCATTGTAGCTAGGAGCACGTCATTGTAGCTAGGAGGACGTCATTGTAACTAGGAGGATGTCATTGTAACTAGGAAGACGTCATTGTAGCTAGGAGGACGTCATTGTAACTAAGAGGACGTCATTGTAGCTAGGATGACGTCATTGTAGCTAGGAGGACGTCATTGTAACGAGGAGGATGTCATTGTAACTAGGAAGACGTCATTGTAGCTAAGAGGACGTCATTGTAACTAGGAAGACGTCATTGTAGCTAGGAGGACGTCATTGTAACTAGAAAAACGTCATTGTAGCTAGGAAGGACCTGAAACAAGTCTGAAAAGGATTGAGACAGGTCTGAAAAAGTGTGAAACAGGTCTGAATCATGTCTGAAAAGGTCTGAAACAGGTCTGAAACATGTCTGAAAAGGTTTGGAACAGGTTTGAAACAGGTCTGAAAAGGTCTGGAACTGGTCTGAAACATGTCTGAAAAGGTGTGAAACATGTCTGAAACAGGTTTGAAACATGTCTGAAAAGGTGTGAAATATGTCTGAAACAGGTCTGAAACATGTCTGAAAAGGTCTGGACCTAGATTCAGGAAGCTCTGTGTATTTCTTCGTAAGTGGGTTTGCTACGAAGATTCCTAAGTGCGCCCTAAGAAGATGCTTAGGTGCGATTCAATAAGGTCCACTTAGGAAGAAATTTGTTGGTTCACCTGCGTGCCGATAGAGGTCACTACTGTGTTTCGTTTGGCCAATCAGAGAGCAGCAACATTCTTCATATTGAAGATTTAGCGCTGGTTTATCGGAGCTCTACTGCCTCCTATTTACGTCGAATTTTCTTATAGAATTAGTATATTTCGAAGTAAAACAATGTTTTTTCAACTTCTACAGCCAGCACCGACATTGTAGTAAACAAATATGTTACATTTGTTGTTTACCTACGTAATTCTAAGAGATACTGTGTAGCTGTCCTTGTTGCTCGGAAGATGCGCTGACAATTATTGTATATATTTACTGAATTTACCCAAGGGCCACTAACTATCTAGTGACCTCGAAGAGGACAGAAAGCCGGCGGCTTGTTAAAGGGCCCGCCAATTGTCTTAATGATATTTTTTAGCTGGAATTTGGCATTTACGGCTTCAGCGGGTAGGTAGTTCCATGGGTTTATAGCCCTCTTGGTGGAAAAAAACATCTGTTTTCAGTCCTACTTGAGAGAACATACTCTCCAACACTATATCTGTGATTGTCCTGTTATCAGTGACTTCTACCAAATGGTATGAGGTATTTTGAGCTCTGTAATTACTTCATACACTCAGGAATATTGGAAGATATTCTTGTGCTGCACCCAGATTTTGCCAGTGGAGGCTAATAGATCAGCATTAAGTATTTTGTTCTCTCCTAATTCCATGTATGACTGGCCATCCTGTGAGGTGAGGATGTTGAATGAGCTTGTAGCTGGTTTTTGATCTACACTGTGTGGTCCTTTATACAGAATAGGGAAGCAGCACATTGCTGTGTATACCTAAACATGTTTAAAAATACATTGTTTGAGAGGAGTCTTGTAGAAACTGGTAGGAGTAATTATAATATAATGTTTCCATGATTCAGTGCTTACCTCTTGTGAAAATCGCGAAGAGTTGTTTAGTCAGAGTTGATTTGTTTTTTGTATTGAGGCTGGTATTTTCTAAATTGATTCCATGTACAGTATGTCTAACCATCCTGTGAGATGGGAGTATTAGATGAACTTATAGCTAGTTTTTTATCTACACTGTGTAATATTCCATATAGAATAGGGTAGCAGCACATTGCTGTGTATACCTAATCTTCTTAATAAAAACAATCAGTAATAAAGATTTTAAATTATAGTTTGTATTATTACAAATACAGTACTGTATTATCCTCATTAAATCATGTTAACCATGAATCATTAAGATCTCATGTTGATATGTAATAGTCATATTTCTTTTGAACTGCTAATCCATGCTAATCATTCATTAAATTGTGCATTATGTCTCAATTTTTCACTTCCTTGGATATACTGTACAGTACAAAAAGATAGGATAAAAATAAACCAGTAATATTTCTTTCATTATATTTTTTATTTAAATAACTGCATCAATATTTTTACAGCTGACAGGATTTGTTTTCCCATACAGGTGCATTATTTGTTAAAAAAATTTTGGTTTATTGTTACACACAATGGTGCTACATAGCCTTCCCAGCTTGGTGCCTTCTTTTAATACTTACTGATTTAAAAATAAATAATAAATACATTTTATTCAAGAAAAGTACATACAGTTGATTTACAAACATAATGTTGGATTTATAGACAGAGATAGTACATACAATACCTAAAGCCACTAATACTCATAGCATTTCGGGCAAGGTGTGCGGGAAAAAACACAGACTAAAACTTAATAGTAATCGGGATTAGGTATAAATTGTGTTGAAAGAAGGAATAAAAAATACAAAAAGGGAGGTTAACATAGCATAAATCAGCAATTGCACATGTTGGTGAACAGCGTTGTTTAAAAAATAGCAAGACATGGGTTGACATTTAGGAGGTAAGTTAGGTTACATGGAGTTAATTAGGTAGTACTTGGTTTAACTCTTAAAATGGTTGAGAGAGGTATAGCCTTTGACATGATTCGGGAGGTCATTCCACATTCTGGGTCCCTTGATTTGTAGAGCATTTCTAGTTTGGTTACACACAGCTAAATTGAGTAACAGGAAGAGGTCTTGGACACAAATTTGTTCCATGCTAAATGTAGAGGAATCAGCTGAGTATTCCTCAAATAAAATAAGTTGCCTCAGCTTCTAAGGTAAATAAAATAAGCATTTCTCATATAAGTAGCTGCCTCACCTCACTGCCTTACTGCTACATAGCCTTCCCGGCATGGTGCCTTCTTTTGATAATTACTTGTTCCACACCCAAATTGTATAACAGGAAGAGGTCTTGGACCCCTACTTCCCTCTCTCTTTTTTAATAATCTATATAGTCATAATTATAGCTTTAAGTATTCAATGAATAAAGTTTTTGACATTTTTACCCTTCTCCTTACCTAACATCATTTGTGCAGCATATTTTTATTTTATGTCTCACCCAGATTTAATTTAAAAATAAAACCAAACTAAATAAATTAGAAATGGGTATGTATAGCTAAGGTACACCCTTACTACTAGGTGAACAGGGGCATTTGGTGATAGTAAATGATCCCATCAGGCAGGGCTCATCACCTTCTCTCATATTTCATGTTCACCAGTGTTTATTTACTTAATAACTACTGGTATAATATCTTGCTATTATAAAACTAATTCTACTATCATCAAACACATATTTACTTCAAGTTTCAAGCAGAGAATGCATATATAACTAACAGGAAGGACTCCTCTTCACTAGATTCATCAGCTATAATATTTTGGTCATGTTCCAATATCATAAATCGATCTCAGTGTTATGTAGTAGAGAAAAAATGACTTATATCCAGTTTACGTAAAGCTACGAGTGGTCGAAACCACACTTAAATCCCGGAATGAACTTACGAAGGTTTTTCCACTTAGTGTAGCTACTTGAATACGGACGTAGCCGCCACGAAGGCGCTAAGAGGGAAAACGTTCTTAGCTAAGAGGAAAAACCTTCGTAAATACCTTCCTGAATCCGGCCCCTGGAACAGGTCTCAAACAGGACTGAAACACTTCTGAAACAGGTCTGAAACACTTCTGAAACAGGTCTGAAACACTTCTGAAACATAACTAACAACAACAGTTGGGATGGAAGCTGACCTGGAACAATGGA